CTTCAAAGAGCGGTATTTCTCGTTAATATCAAATAATGCCTAGTTGTACCAAGCAAATACCGAATTTTTTGACTGGATTTTACCTCCAACCGGACGTTCCTCTACGTCCTTACACCGGACGTAATAAAAGTTACTCTATATCCGCCCGTTGCACAGCGAACCGCTTGTTCAGATTTATCTCCCCCTCCCTCTCTCTCTCTCTCCCTCTTTCTCTCTCTCTTCTCTCTTTCTATATAAGGGCTTCTGCAGAGAAGCTAAAAGCAAAGGCGAAGAGAAATGGAAGCCATTCTTTTCACAACAGTTTTGCTTCTTGCGTGTCATGTCCTTCTTGCGGAGGCGGCCGGGCCGTCGGTCATCGTCGTCGGAGCCGGATTCTCTGGTGAGCCGTGGAACTAATAAGCTCCGTTTGGGACAGCTTTCTAGCAGTTTTGGTTTCTCAGGAAGTAGTCAAGATTTTTATTTGGACACTATTTTTTAATTATTTCTAATAAATTTTTATGCAAGGAGCTGTTTTCAAAGCAAATTTTGAAAAAAACTGTTAAGCTGCGTTTGTTGATTATTAAATTGAGAAAGAAATATTTAATTCTGTTTTGAATGAAATTATTATAATTATTGTCAGAAAATACAAAGCAGAATGCAAATTTTGAACTTTTTTTATTTCATAAAATATAATGAATTACAAGACTTTGTTTCGTATTGAAATTCTGACTTGTTCATAATATATATAAATTGAGTTTGCCCACCTTGAAAAAATGTTCTCGATCCGCCACTGCAGCCGAATCAAACAAGTTAGGCGTCTTCATACTTTTGATTTTCAATTTTTTGTTATTTTTTGCTGTTAGTCTGAGTTTTATGTATAATTCTTTGTTTATTTTATAAATGTTTTAATTTAATTATTTTAATTATTAAAAATGTATTTATCAATGTTTAGTCGAAAATATAGGTTTTTTAGAAAATATAATATAAATTTCTTATATATTAAGAGAAAAAGATCAAAATAGATCACTTTGAAATATTAAAATAATATCTAACTATATTAAATAATTATCTTTAAAGAATCATTTTGTTCATTTTTCTTGCATGCTACATCAAATTTTAAGTAAATAAAATAACTTTAAATTATATTTTTATCAAAATAATATTTTGACAAAAAAAAAAACTTATTTTGATCTAAGCGTTGAGGATTTACTTTGAAGGGATAAGTGCGGCGAAGACGTTGTCGGACGCCGGAATAACCAACATCGTCATTCTGGAGGCGACGAACCGCATCGGCGGCCGGATCTGTAAGGTGGCGTTCGCCGGAATCAACGTGGAGAAAGGAGCAAACTGGGTGGAGGGAGTAAACGGCAACGAGCTCAACCCCATCTGGACCTTTTCAAACCAGCTTGGCCTGAGAAAATTCCGTTCTGATTATTCGAACTTGTCCTCCAATACTTACAAGGAAGAGTGAGTTTCTCTCTCTACTGTTTCAAAAAAATAATTTTTTTAACTTTTCTTTTCTAATAAATTTTGAAAAAAAAAAAATTTTGCAGAGGTGGGCTGCATGGGGCGGCGAAGATACAGTCGGTGATCGACACCGCCGACGAGGTTTACGACGCCGGCGAGAAGTACTCCAAGTCTTTATCGAACAGTGGGTTGGGAGATATATCCATCCTTGCATCCCAGCGCCTTCAGAATCAGTTAAATATCCTATCCAATTATTTCAATTTTTTTTTTATTTTATGTGTTTGATTTGTTTTTTTAGAGGAAAAAATTATCAAATATTATGATCGATGGTGGTAGGAGAAATAATTATAATTATAAAATAAAGGCCAAATTTTATAGAGAAGCATGATAATAGATTATTAAAAATTTAAAAAGGAGTTAATACGCTTTATTAAATCGCGCTTTCTAAAGAGTAATAAAAAAATAACAAAAATTTTGGTGTATTGTATTTATCTGTAGAGAGAGAGGGAAGAGAGAGATAGGTGAGAGAAAGAGATAAAAAAGAAATATTAAAAAAAAAGAAAAATTAAAATGTGAAATGCTAAAATAAAATTAAAAATACCATCTTATGTATATATATTTTTTGGACATTTAAGCCAATTAAAACTTCATTTGATAAAATTTTCTTTGTGCTTTTTAAAATCTCTTTATAATACAAAATTAAACTTTATACTAAAAAATAAAAACATTATCTCAAACAAATCTTAAGACTAAGAAAGCTCCCAACCAACATATTAGAATCAGTTGCGTCCTTATATATAATATGATCACCACATCACCATGTTGCCTTTCCTGTTGCCCCTTTATTCTCGATTTTGTAACCCTTCACATGCTACTTATTTTCACCTCTTGAAAACTAAAAATTATTCTATGCGAAGGCCGGACGCTGAACGCCGTCCGAAGATCAATCAAAATGTATCACGTTAGCGATACCGAGCCGTAATATTGAACCGTACCGAGTCGTGGTACCAAGCGAATGGGTGATATGCATGACACATTCTGATTGATCTCCGAACATCGTTCGTCATCTGCACAAAATAATTAATCCTCGAAAACACCACCTCTTATAAATATTTATTAAAAATTATATATTTAACATCTAATTCGTATTGTTTATATCGATAGCATTCCAAATATTAAAATAAAATAAAAAATAACACATCATGCATAATCTGACCACCGCTTCACCATCCTGCCTTTTGTAGTGTCACCACGTTTTCTAAACTCACGACTGATGGGATAAGGATAGAATATGGTTGGGCCTTATTAAAGTTGTGCCCATATGCAACTAGGGGAGTAAGTGTGCAAGTTGGTTCGAATTAAACAAATTTATGGGCTCGCGAGTCAAGTTTATCGAGCTCGAGCTTGTTTACTAAACAAGCTCGAGTTCGAGTTTGATGTGGCTCGATTCATGAGCTCGTACTCGAATTATTTTAAGATTTTTTAAAATTAAATAACTATTTTTTTATTAAATTTAAATATTAAAAAAAATAGAACGATGCAATTAGTTTTTTTTTTCTTTTAAACTATAGCTACAGTTTCCCATTTTTATTAAATTTTAATCTTCAACAATTCCCTAAAAGTTGCAGAAAGCCGTCTATAAACCAACCATAATGCACCACATCACCCATTCGTTCGGTACCGCAGCTCGGTACTGCTGACGTGACGCATTTTGGTTGCTTCGGATGACGTTCTACATCCGGTCTCCGCACAGAATAATTTATCGTACATAGGAGAGCTTTCCCACTACTTTATTTTGCATATTACAATCACAATTCTATTAAACAACTATTTTCTTAAGACTTTCAAAAAGTTTCTATATTAAAAAGTTATTTTTACATCAGTTTTATTTTAAAAAGTATTTTCTCTCCAACTTTTAATCAACAATATAAAAAATTACAGTCGTCCCAAACATAAAAACTTTATGTTAAAACAGAATTAAAAATTATTTATTGCAGTGCGCCGTCGTCTCCGGCTGAGATGGTGGTGGACTACTACAACTTCGATTATGAGTTCGCCGAGCCGCCACGTGTCACGAGCTTACAGAACACAGTGCCCTTACCCACATTTGCTAATTTTGGTGAAGATGTATACTTTGTGGCAGACCAAAGAGGTTATGAGACTGTGGTTCACAATGTGGCTAATCAGTTTCTCAAGACCTCCAAAGATGGGACCATAGTAGATCCCAGGCTTATTCTCAACAAGGTAAATTTCCCTTTTTTTTTCTTTTTTTTATTAACATAAAAATAGAATATATTAATTAAAAAATATTTAGCATTTTGTATACTTTTTGTGAATAATAAAAATAAAATTACTGTATTTTATCATTTTTTTAGTATGCTAAGTACAATAATTAAGGTTTTTAATTAGGTGGTGAGAGTAATAGAACATTCACCTGGAGGAGTGACTGTCAAAACAGAAGATGGCGCGGTCTATAAAGCAGATTATGTGATAGTTTCTGTCAGCCTCGGTGTGCTTCAGTCCAAGCTTATAGAATTTGTGCCAAGGCTTCCTGTAAGCAAAATTACAAAGACAGAATTATAATTTTCATATTGATGCAGGACTTATTTGTTAAAATTGCTAACGCAGGAATGGAAGATCCTTGCAATATATGAATTTGACATGGCCATTTACACAAAAATCTTCATCAAGTTTCCCTATTCATTTTGGCCCACTGGAAATGGAACACAGTTCTTCTTATATGCAAGTGAAAGACGTGGATATTACTCGATTTGGCAGGTAATTTAAATTTCCTCATCAAATATATAACACATATTTCATCTCAAAATAAGGCTTTGTTTGGTACGGCTTTATTACGGTTTCTTAAAACAGTTTTTTAGAACAAAAATTAAAATTTTGTACTTGAAAGTTGCTTTAAGAAGCAGTGAGAAAGCCGTCCCAAACGAAACCTAAATCTGAGGGCTTTGAGATGTAGCATTTCGAGAGAGAGTATCCTGGAGCGCATGTTCTACTCGTAACGGTTACTGACGATGAGTCGAGGAGGATCGAACAACAGCCAGATTCGACGACCAAAGCAGAAGCTATGGAGGTGTTGAGGGCAATGTTTGGGAAGAACATACCAGAGGCAACTGATATTTTTGTACCGAGGTGGTGGTCAGATAGGTTGTACAAAGGCACATTCTCAAACTGGCCAATTGGTGTTAACAGATATGAATATGATCAAATCAGGGTAAGAAATGAAGTTATACTCTTCTTTGTTCAATTCAAGCAATTTGAGACCTTTTTATTTTGTTTTCATGTTGATTTTTTGGTGAACAATTAGGCACCTGTTGGAAGGATTTACTTCACTGGAGAACATACAAGTGAGCACTATAATGGCTATGTTCATGGCGCTTATTTGGCAGGTAAATATATAAATGTTTGTTCATATATGTATGAGAACAAGTTTGATCTGATCTGATCAAGACTTTTGTTTTCATCGGCTTGTAGGGATCGATTCAGCCAACATATTGATCAGGTGCGTCAAGACTGGAGACTGCAAGTACATTGTGAAGGCAAAGGATGCAGATGATTAGTTAACAAGGTTTGTATGATTGAGATGATTTATATGCCTTTATTTTGGCTTTTTGTGTTAAATAGAAGCAGGGGCGGAACCAGTCATAATTTTCAGAGAGGGGTATTTATAAGTAACTGTTGATAGATAGGTCAAGGGTCCAAGGGGGCAGCACCCCCTGGCGGGTTTCGACCTAACAATTTACTATTTCTCTTTGTATTTGATTCATCATTCCCTAACAATAACACATTTACACAATGCATTTAATTATACTAGGGGCATAGTATTTTAAAACTTTTAGGGGGGGCAATTGCCTAAAAATTTTTGTAATAAAGACTAAAAAATAAATTGAGGGGGATAAATTACCTAAATAATCAGATAATGAAAAAAAAAATTTAGGGGGGCAATTGCCCACCGGGATTGCCCCCCGGGATCAAAGGGGTTCCGCCCCTGAATAGAAGTGATATTTTGATAAAATTTTCTGATGAATATTAAAATGGACCAAGCAACGGTCAAATTGAGTAAAACTTGATATAGATTGATTTTGTTGTAGTAAAATAAGGCAAGTATGTCATAGCTAAATAAATCTTGGTCTGAGAACTTCTAATAAATCAACGAAACCATTATACCAGATAGGTTAAAGTATAGTGATTGGAAGTAGTTGATTTATATGTCTTCTAATTGATTTATAATTTTGCAGGTTGAAATTAAGCTTAGTACTGGTGGTAGTCAAGTAATGAGAGCAATAAGGAGCAGAAGTTTCTGTCCCAGAGTTTGATTGGCTGATAGAGTTTGTGTGCTGTTTTTTGTATTCAGAAGCAAGCTTTTCATTTTGCTTACTTTTGGAGCAATTAACAGAATGTAGGAGTTATGCTGAGTTTGTTTAGTAATCTTTGTATTAGAATTATTAAGCTAAGTATTTGAGATTCCAATGCACCTATTTCATCCTTTTGTAAGTTTTGTAGCATTAAGTGTATGTAGTTTGGAAGTGCGTATTCCTCATTAAATATTATTTTCCTTCAATTGTAGGTTTAATAATGAGTTTATTAAATCATCATAGTAGTAAAATTTTAAGATATTTGCACCAAATCTCCTTACTGTGCCACTTTTCTCATCTCATTTAAATCCCAAATATTAAAAGTACAATACAAACAATCTATTATGATTTAGATTTTGTTTGTGACGGCTTTATTTCTGCTTTTCAAAGCAGTTTTTTAGTATAAACTAATTTTTTTTTTAATTTTTGTTCTAGAAAGCTGCTTTATAAAACAAAAAGAAAGTTTTCCCAAACGAAGTCTTAATCAAATTTATCATCCATCATTCCAAACAAATTTAAGAATTTAAGCCTCAGGATTTAGTAAATATGGATTTACAAGATTTCCTCAATCCTACTTGTAGCCCCTTAATGTGAAAGAATAAGAAAAAACAGTGATAGATTTGTAGTAGCATGGGTTAAACATTAAACAAAAAGACGCCTCATATCATACTCGAGAAAAATTCAATGCGAAGAAGGATTCAAAACCTACTTTAGTTGGAATAAGAACAACGATAATGAAGTTAAATTCAAAATTTTTAAATGCAAATAAGCAAAATATCGGCATCATCTCAGATATTGGGCTTCAGCACAATCCCAGAAGACAAAAAGTAAATTAACCAATAAATGCATATCCAGTTTGACGAATAAGTTCGTAGCAAAAATTAATTTTTATACCATTAAGCTATTTTAAAAATTAGCAAGAAAGTCATCCCAAACAAAGCCTTATATTGATCCCTTAAATTATAAATACTTTTATTCTACATTTGAATACCTTATTGTAGGGGTGTCAATATTTGACACGACACGAAAACCCGACACGGACCTGACCCGGAAAATCCGGGTTGGACCCGACCCGACCCATTTTAAAAACGGGTCGGGTTCGTGTTCGCAAATTCGACCCGTTTGAAAAAACGGGTCAAGTTCTGGTTGACCCGACGGGTTGGCGGGTCAACCAGAAAACCTGTTTAAACTAACTGCTCGTGAGTTCGTGACCTGCTGACCGCGCAAGCGTGCTGCAGCGCACCCGGCCAGCGTCGCAACCGCTGCTCGCGCACCCACGACATCTTGTCCGCGCACCCGCCTGCGTCCAGCTCACCCAGCCAGCCGTGCACTCGCCACGTCCCACGCACCCACCGTCCGTGCGCTGGCTGGCTTGCGCACCCGCGCACCGCGTGCTTGCTCGCGTCGCGCGCTCGCTCATTCCTATGTCGGGTCGGGTCAACTCGGCAACCCGACGGGTTGGGTCTGGGTTCGAATATTCGACCAGTTTACCTACCCGGGTCAGGTTAGGGTCGACCCGATTGAACCCGGGTCAGTTCCGGGTTCGACCCAAACCCGACCCGTGACCCGAAATTGATACCCCTACTTTATTGTACTTCGTTAAATGGTATTGGTCTTGTTGAATTTAACTCATCAATATGCTCGATTACTACATGCACACAAGATTGTGAGGACATTTAAGCTTCGTTTGAGATATGTTTTTTACTACTTCTTAAAACAGCTTTCTAGTACACAAATTTTAATTTTTGTACTAGAAAATTGCTTAAGAAGCAATAAGAAAGCTGTCCCAAACGAAGCCTTAATCCATCATTGAGACATTTAGTTCGACTATAAACCTGTTGCAGTTAGAGTTCAAATAGCTTTGAATTTAATTCTTCAAGTTTTCAATTAAAATATTATATTGAGATTAATGCTGATTAAGTGAATTTTCTGGAGACGTATCAAGTTGAATTGTATATTCGAATAAGACTTGTTCATTGTTCGAATAAGGTTTCACCTTCGTAAATGATAGAGTATAATATAACAGAATGTAATTACAATAGCTATAACATAAAAAATTATAATGTAGATACAACACGTGATAGAATTTTAATATGAAGCCTTATATTAAATTAATATTACACTCATCTCAAAGTAGATCTAAGGTCTCTTAAGGACATCATGATCTTAAGATTTTTTTTTTTTTAAAAAAATTATTTACTAACAAGATAGATTAATATTTTAGCACTTAGAATATCTATCATTTATTTTTTTAGCATGCAAAATGCAAAACCTAACATACTAATAATAATCAAATAATAATAATTTCAAACATGAATTAATGGCTAAGTTATTCTAAAAATAGTCAAATTTATTCTCCACATATAACCCTTTTGTTTCTAAAATTTCAAAGGGATCAAAATCATTAATTTTTATCTTAACAAAGGAATTTCATCATTGGAGAGTTTCATAATGAATTTTCTTTCAAATTAGTATAATATGAACTCCATATGCAGCAATATTTTACAATTTCACCCTTACAAATTTTGAATTAGCAGATTTAAACACAATTGTTTTCCTGAAATTTGCATTTTATGTGACAATAAATATTTAATCTTATATAATTATTACGAAAATAATGGCATTTTGTACTCACATTTAAAAGTGCAATAAAAATATTAAATTCAAGTTTTTTTATTATTTTCTTTTTTTTTTTTATAAAGTTCAACTTAACAATAACTTATAATAATGAAAAATATCACCAAAATATTTACATAACATTGCAAGAATGAAGATAAAATAGCAATGATTTTTGCAATACAACAACAACATTAAGCCTTTATCCCACTACGTGGGGTCGGCTACATGAATCCTTTTTCTCCATTGTGTCTTATTAAAAGACAAATTCTCATTTAAATCTAATAAAGAAAGATCATTACTAATATTTTCTAATCAAATCAAAGGGTATGTGCAAAGTTGCATTAATAACAGGCACAGCTTCAAAACTCAGCTATTACATCAACATGGTCCGAAAAATAAGCTTTTCCTCAAGTTCGAATGCTTTTGCAACACTCACAAAGACTACAAAGAAAAATATAATAAACGAAGAAATCGCCTACTTTCTAGTAAGGAATACCATCACAAAAAGAATGATAAAAAGAATTAGTACGAGAAACATCTCACTAATCCAAACCTTGCTCAAAGGAGGAAATATTCTGAGACTAAGGTTTCGTTTGGAACGATTTTTTTACTGCTTTTTAAAACAACTTTCAAGTACAAAAATTTTAACTTTTGTATAAAAAAAGTTGTTTTAAAAAGCAACAATAAGCCTGAGAGAATCTGAAACCTAATTTCCTCAAGTAAGAAAATCGGTAAATATTCGTTGTAGATACATGATTTTTGCAGTATAAATTTGGCAGCCACTCTTTTATTGGCATAATACAACTCCTATTCTTGTTGAAACAACCACATAATTTTACATAATAAAATAAATAAATATCGAACAACTATTTTTTTGCTTGAACAACATTTTAAGCATCTGATCTTATTACCTGCCCAACAAATTCTTCATGTATTGTAAGACTGACTCCAATTCTCTGAATTAAAATCGAATTAATTTATCAAATATTTTATAAGTTTATATATTAAAATACTATAAATTTTTATTGATATTTTACTATCATACTTCAAAATAATTTATTAAAGTGTAGATCAAAATGGGATCAGCTAACGGAGGAAATTAGCAAACAAATTAAAAAAATTATTTTTAGTCATATTTGATGAAGAGACTTAAATATCTATCTATAGTAGTTGTTTTAAAATCGCTATTATAAATAGCTATTAATTAATTATGGAATTGACAGATATTTATTAAAAAATTTTAATTTTTTTTTATTTACTTATTCCTCAAACTACAACCATTCAAAAGAAAGAATGCATAATAATCACATAAATTTTAAATTTAGAAAATTTAAAATTGGAACCTTTTACTAAATTTAACATTATCATTATTAAAAAAAAAACCACCTACAAATTATTAATATATTTCTTAAAAGGAATTTACATACACATATACAAAACAATTTTAAGTATTTACATATCTAAATTTGCAAGAAATTGATAGTTTGTTATTAAAACTTTTTAATTTTCTTATTTATTCACTCTCAGCCACACAACAAAAAGAATGCTTAGTCATCATATGTATTTTTGATTAAAAAAAATAAATAAAATAGGTACCTTTTACTAAAATTGAAATTCCACTCCATTTTCTGCGTTGATTGAATCTAGGGGAAGCAATTAAAGAAGAGACATCTGAAAGCTATAAAAGGAGAGGTAGACAGGGAGAGAAAGAGAGATGAAGGCAAAGATGGCGAGAAGGAGCTTCTGTTAAATCCCAATGCCGACTTGCAGATCATAGAGGTATGAGAAGGGAGGATGTTCCGTCGTGCTCCTATCCTACGGCGGACTTTGAATCGCACGGTGAGCTTTTCACCGCCAGCCAATACGATCTCCTTGGGCTTCCATTACTTACTTGATTCGATCAGGATCTGACATTTATCAATTGATTTATGCCGATGCTTCCTCTTATTCACTTCTTTCCAAATCGTTTGAGACAATTTGGTTTGTTTTTTATTAGGTTTCTGTTATTTGTTGTGTATTGAGTGTTTGACTAGGAATTAACAAAATCTATTAGGTATAGAAAATAATAAAATTTGAATTGGATTTACTTTGTTGCGATTGTGATGGTGATTTGAATAATAATTTATGTATTTCTGATTGTTTGATTGGAATATTTTGATTGGGATTGCAGGAGGAAGAATGGAATCGGATCTCGGGAAGGTTTTCATTGGAGGGATTTCGTGGGACACAAATGAAGATTGCCTTTGGGAATATTTCGAGAAATTTGGGGAGGTTGTAGAGGCGGTGATCATGAAGGATCGAAGAACTGGCCGTGCTAGGGGTTTTGGATTTGTGGCCTTTGCAGACCCTGCTGTTGCCGAGAGGGTTGTCATGATTAGACACCGAATTGATGGGAGGATGGTAACTACCAATGCTACCTATTTGAAAAGTACATGCTTAAAGCAATTGATAGAAAGCAGATCCCTGCATTGGGTGCCCATATCCACACCCACCCATATACTCATCCATACCAAATGGGTACCAATACCCAATGGGTATGGGTGAGTATGGGTATGCATATGGCCTTGTGGGTGGGTATGAGTGGATACTCAACATCAAG